GAGTGAAAAGTCCAGCAGAATTATTTAAAATGTTTTGAGTTTGACCAGAAAGGAGGCTCCAGTAAACCTGCAGCCTGCAAAAACAGAACAGAAGAAAAATTGATCACCAAAAAGACTAGCAAGGAAAAGCCAAATATTTCAGAAGAATAACAACAGAGAACATTACAGGAACCAACAGGACTCCAGGCTGAGAACATTACAGGAACCAACAGGACTCCAGCCTGTAGAGCCTTAGAGTTACAAAGGTGAAAGACTCAGTTTGAGAAGAGAGTCCCAGGGACTGTGTTCTAGAATGGTGGCAGTCTAGGGAGGTTGTCAGATTTGGTTCATGTGCACTTGACCCCTACAGCCAAGAGAGAAGGAAGCCTGGCTGCTGCTCCAGCCGGCAGCAGACCTTGGTGCCATCCATGTGGTGCTGCTTTTATGTGCATGCTTTGTGGGGTTGCAAGGGCTCCTGCCCAGATTTCAGAGCAAGGCTGGGGGGCCAGGCAGCATGGCCCTGGGAGGGCAATGTGTGAAGCTATGAGTGTGAAACCAAGGGTGCAGACTCCAGAAGTTTGGAGGAGCTACGAACCTGGATCGTCTGAGAAAAGCTGCAAGGAAGGAGCAGAGATGACCCAAGAAAGAAGCCGCGGGAGATATGACTACTGGCAGTGGTGCAAAGATGCAGCCACTGAGGCCTGGAGTTCATAGCTTGCCACAGATTGTTGGGGATGCTGGCAGTGGAACTGTGTGGTTTAATGTTTGCCCTGCTGGATTGTGGACTGCTTTGTTCCATTCCTTGCTATCTTTTTGTAGGTAATGTTTAAAATAGAAATGTCAGAAAACAAGTGGGAATCCGGGGTGGGGAGGAAGCTGTGCTAGGAGTGGGAGGAGGCAATGCTAGACCGTGGGAGGAAGGTGCCCTCACAGCCGCAGATACACTAACCCAGGCGGGGATGGGTGAGCATGACTGGATCCCCCAGAGATGTGCAGTGCCCACCTTCCCCACCACTGGGTGCTGCCCAGTTCAGGTGGGCTGCAGTGAGGGCTGAGGGCTGCGCTGGGTGGGCTGGAGGTGAGAGAGGGTGGCCTAGGCCTATGCCCACCTGTGACCCCTTTGGTGCGGCCGCAGGACTTGAGGGTTCTTGGCACTGGTTCTGAAGCCTGGAGCAGGTTCTGTGCCCCTGGACCACTATCTGGTGGGTTGGCAGCCTCGCTGGTCTGTTTTAGGCAGTGGAATCCTATCCTTGGGGACTCATGGGTTGATGCTTGCAAAGGGAGCAAAGGCAGTGTGGAGAGGTCAGCCTGAAATTCAGGTTCATTTGGCAGATAGCACAGGAGTGGAATCTGTCCCCAGGAGAGCAGTGTCTCCACAGGAAGGCGGGAAAAGCAGCTGGAGGACAGCTGGCTATGGTTGCTCTGGGGAGCTCCAAGCATGTTTAACTGATACTAAGACAAACAAACAAACAAAAACAAAACAACAAAAAAGAAATAAGTGCAACCAGTGACTCGCTGAAAACTAAAATGTCTGAACTTCGCGTCTGCAGTGACGCTCTATTCACTGCAGGTTCGTACAACCCTGCAGTTTGTCCACCCCTGGGAGACTGATTCCTCTCCCAATATGGGGACACGGCTAAGCCTCTTGCCTCTTTAGTGCCATGTGCAATGCGTTCTTCACTCGCCTGAGATGAGTGAAGATAGTGAATGCCAGGTTAAAGCCTGAGATATTTCAGCTGCCCCACTGGGATCCTCTGGTTTCTCCTGTGTCACCACCATCTCCTGTTCTGGTGTTGAAATGTTCTGTCTGTCCATCCGGGTCTTGCAGTTCAGAGAGGAGCGCTGCTCTATGAAAGCGCAGGATCTGCACTCCACCGATTCCCCCAGCCACACTGAAGATAAAGACTCCCAGATACAGACTCATGCAGCCACGTCCCCTTGAAAACCCAGACAGATCTGTGCACTGCTCGCCAATTAGGCAGAATGGAGATTTGACACTGGCAACCAGTCCTGAAGAAAGCAGACTTAGGCCACAAAAAATCTGAATCAGAAGGTCCTCTTCCATCCTTTTCTTCCTGAGGAAACGGAAGTGTCCGGCTTCCTCTCAGTATTACTATGCAAAAGCTGTTGTAATTAAACTTGTCATAGGGAGGCATTTTACAGAATATTGTAAAACAGACAAACAAAAAACAACCCACATACTTTTGAAGTTTTTATCTTTATTTTATCTTTAAAAATAACTAAAACACAGGTAGATATCACGAGTAGGTCTATGACTATCTCCTTCAAGAGTATTTTCTTAATAACGTCACAGTACAAATATGCACCTTTTTAAAAAACAAATAATGGTATAACATTTTGACTTCCATAAAGACAAATGTAGATATTTTTCTAAAAAGCTGTGAGAGGCTGATATCTTGGTTAGTGTGTATTGTCATTTATAAACATGAAATTTTAAAGTTTGAGTTATGATAACAGCTTGATGGTGATTGTATTGTATTCCTTTGAGCAAATAGGACATACTTAATCTTCTAAATATCTTTAGCCCAAATACCATGATATACAGAGAATTTTTTAATAAAACAGACTCTGCTATCCTTCATATATGAAACTGACACTACTGATTTGTAAATACCAAATGTTGGGTTAAAGTATTTAATTTTTTATTTATTTTATTGTTGCATTAAAAGATGATTGCATTCTTTTGTAACCTACTAAATTTAAGATATGTATTCACTGTTATTTACATTTTCCTATTTAAGAGGTTAATGTTGTTGTGACCTTGCTCCCTTAAATCAGAGACTTTCAAAGGAAAAAAATAGAAATGTCTATTTTGTACCATTGGAGTTGGAAGTGTTCAACCTTCTTTTCATTTGTACTGGGGCTTGTGGCTAAGAGTTTGCTTTAAGTCTCAGAGGACACTTTGGACTTGGGACTGAAACTTGGCACTTTGGCAACTCTTAAAGATGAACTAAATACCTTTTGCATAAAGGGATATGCATGACCCTTCGGGGAGCCAGGGGCAGAATGTTATGGTTTGTGTCTAGATGTCCCCCCCAAAGCCTCATGTGGTCATGGGTGAGGATTTTTCAGAGGTGGCTGAATCCAGAGTTTATGATGCTGCACTGATTCATGGTGCTGTGCTAGGATGAAGGACACTTGGATTAAAACTGCGAGTGTTACTTGTCCTAAGTAACCTGGATAAGATAGAAGGGGTAGAAAGAGCTGTGGTTGTCCCTTGCTTGCTTTGCCATCTGCTGCCCTCCATGAACCATTTCTCCTCTGTCATTCACCTGCCATGCCATCCTGAAACAGCTACAAAGTATGAACTAAATAAACATCTCCTCATTTAAATTTGGGTATCTGGTATTTTGTCTCAGTGAGAGAAAAATAACTAAAACACAGGTAGACATCACTAGTAGGTCTATGACTGTCTCCTTCAGGCTACTGGAGTATTTATGTGCTTGCTAATGTCAGACTAGCTTCAATTGTTTATTCTAAGCCATATTAATGTTCTCATAACAAAGACACTAACATTTTATTTGTTTATGTAATGAAACACTGGAGAGTTATTGTATAGAATTTTGTTATTTTTAAGCCTTATATCGAGGTGGTATGAGTCTTGTAGGTATTTCCTTGTTTCCTGCTAGGAACATTGATTGACAGAGGAAAATAAAGAAGGGAAAAATGAGATGGGAAGGAAGGTGATGAAGTGGAGAAATACACTACCAAGCAGGAGGGATAGGTCAATCTTGAGTAGTAAATTCAGAGCTGCTCAGAGAGGAATATTTTCTGTCCAGGGGTGGATATAACTTTAGAGACCTCAAAGTTAAAAATGCATGGGTACACGAAGTACATGGAGGCCTGGAGGATTACCTGATGGGTTAACTGGGCAGCAGCAGACCCTATTGTGTTTTGGTCCTCCCTGCAGAAGAAGCAGGAGCAGGGAGAGTGAGGGCTGGGATCTAAGTGAAAGCTCAGGTCTCTGCCACCCCAGCAGGGCACAGATTCCATGTGCAGAGGGCAGCTCTGGTAAAGGACAGCCATGAAGGAAGCCAAGGGCTTGAGGCTGGGTGTGGTCTGGTATGAGGACAGGGTGTGTCTTGGGGCACCCCACCCTGAGCTGCAGGTGCAGGAGAGGTGCTCAGGCGAGCTGTCCTCTACACCAGGGCTGTGCAGTCCCCTCCCCACTCTCCTCTGGGCTGTACCACAGCGCTTTATCCTAACTCAAGAGCACTTGGTGACACAGCACCGCCCGCTATGCTCAGGAGCAGCCAGACTGAGCTTCTGAGGCCCACTGTGAGAGGTGGAAGCCCACAGTTTCACCTGTGTTCTTACCTGGAAGCTGATGGATGTGCTGGGGCCAGGCCACCGAGGAGCCTCTCAAGCAGGAGAGGAGGTGCCCTGCGCTTTGTGCAGGAGGAGGCTGCAGTGTCCTGCACTGAGGTTGGCAGCCAGGTTGCCAAGTGTGGGGAAGCTCAGGGTTCAGAGCTCTGCCCTGCTGTGTGGTGACTCCAGGTCACTATGAGGAAGGATGCAGCCTTCAGCCCCTTCAGGTTCCTGCTCTCATGTCCAGCAGAGATTTCCTTGACCACTATGACTTTAGGATCAATATGAGGGACAACGAAAGGGCTACTGAGACTGTAAGGTGCATATATTTTGACTGTTCCAATCCTACTTCGTGGACTCTGGTCAATGCTATCCTCCACTGTGACACTACTCTGTGTGAAACTGAATTTACTTCACCTTTGACCATCAGTTACCTGGTGGTACAATGCATGTGCTATTCAAATTTAAAAATGACTTCTCTGTGACATGCCTTCATGAAACACTGAGGAGATGGATTGGAGAAAGAAAGCCAGAAAACCAGAAGGGAACAAGGGAGAAAAGCAAAATGTCAAGAAAAGGATCAAGAACAGAAGCAACAATCACAACAATAACAACAAAAGCTCAATGAGAAGAGTGTGTGTCTTTGGATTCCTTCTTCCATCCCAGGACACTTTCTCTCACTGACCACTCCTTCACAGGGCCACCTGTTTCTGTCCCAGCCTCCGCAAGGCGTCCTTCACATCCTTGTTCCGCAGGCTATAGATGAGGGGGTTGAGCATCGGGATGACCTGAGTGTAGAAGATGGAGACCACCTTGCCCTGTTCCATGGACTCCACTGCCCCTGGCTGTGCATACATGACAAACACAGTCCCATAAAACAGGGACACGGCTGTCATGTGGGACGCACAGGTGGAGAAGACCTTCATTCTCCCCGATCCTGAGCGCATCCTGAGGATGGTCACTGTGATGTAGCCATAGGACACCAGGATCACTAATACAGTGCTCACGATGATGAAGCCACAGATGCCAAATAAGAGAAGTTTATTGAGAGCTGTGTCAGCACAGGCGAGCTGCAGCAGTGGGGGCACATCACAGAAGAAGTGGTTGATGCGGTTGGAGCTGCAGAAGGGAAGTTGAAAAGTGAAGCTGGTCTGTATGATAGAGTTGAGGCAGCCTCCACAGTAAGAGCCCAGAACAAGACGGGCACACATTATAGAGGACATTGTCACAGGGTAATGCAGGGGACTACAGATGGCCATGAAGCGGTCATAGGCCATCACAGCCAGCAGGAAGGCTTCAGTGGTAGCAGATAAGGAGAAAAAGCAGAGCTGAGCGGCGCATCCTACAAATGTGATGGCCTTGGAGGAGGAGAAGAAATTGGCCAGGGCTTTGGGGGCAATGACAGATGAGTAGCAGAGGTCCAGGAAGGACAGGTTCTTGAGGAAGAAGTACATGGGGGAGTGCAGGCGGGCATCCAGGGTGATGATGATGATCATGGTGAGGTTGCCTAGGATGGTCACCATGTATAGTGCCAGGAAAACAATAAAGAGCAGGGTCTGGACTGCCATTTCTCCCCTGAATCTCACCAGCACAAATTCCTGCCAGGGGACTGCTGAGAGGTTCCCATGTCTGTGCACTGTCATGGCCCTGAGCCAGGACAGCTGTGTAGAGAGGATGACGGAAGCAGTAACAGGGTGCTGGTCACAGTCCCGTGCTCACATCCTATGCTTTCAGTACCTGAAAGTACCTATGCTGTCAGTACACTGACAAGAGGCCACAGCCTTCCTGAGTGTCCTTGCAGAAGAGCTCACCATGCCCTGAAAGGGGATGTTGTGTCTGATTTATTGAATTCATGACTAGTGGTCAAACATTTCCCATGTAGGAGAATGAACTTTACACCGCGGGCTGTAATGTAGCACCCAGAACTGAGTGACTCTCTGTAAGGATGGCTTCGTGGAAATCCCTCGTCTGCCTCTATGACATATGTTCTCTCACTGCTGTGGGAAGCTACAGAGTAATGCCATTCCTACACCTGGAGCTTTGTCCCATTTGTGTGCAACAAATTGACTCACCTCCTGACTTAAGAAATGGTTACAGGCACTCCTGTCACCATGCCTTGGGGCAGCTTGTGTCCCATCTCTAGGCTGCCTCTCTTGGTTTTTTCTTCAGAACCCTGAGTTTCAATCAACTTCTGTGAGCCTGAACTTGGACCATGGTTGTGTTCAAACTGTTGAGTTCAAAGCTCTCTGCTTCTTAAGGACATCAGGGACCTGCCCATGTCTGGATGCTGGGATGGGGTTGGTTCAGCCCCGTGGCTCAGAAGTAGCAGAACCGGCAGGGTCACACATCGGGCCACAGCCTGTACTCAGGCGCAGATTGTTCCCTGCTTATCTTTGGTGGTGCGGACTTCACAAAGCACTCGCTCTTTCTTACTTGATAAGCAGCTGACCTTTCTCAGTCCTATCTTGTGTGCTGACCTCACCTACCAGGTAAGCATCAGACTTACCCAAGATCACACAGATGGAGCCTGGCTTTTCAGGTCCCCATACTCTTGAGCCTGATGGGAGTGAGGATACTGAGGTGGACACTCAGGACTTCAAGCTTTTCTGCAGTTCAGATCCCACTTCCTGAGCAGTGGAGCAAGGCGGGCAGGGGTAGAACTAGACTCCTTATGTCCAGAAAGTGACTGGCTGTAGAGGACCTGGCTGAAGCAAGCCTGTGGGTCTCTGGAAGCAGGAAGGTAGGCTCCTCGCCTCTCCTCCTCCCCTATCCTCGGCTTCCAGGCTGCACATGGAGCACCTGCCCTTGCGGTTACTCTGCTGGGCAGGACTCTCTGTATCTGGCAGGGCCTCCAGGGGCCAATTAGGTAGTCACTGGGCTTCTTTGCTGCACTGGGACACCAACTCCCTGGACTGTAGGAGTTGTAGTACTATGGACCATCTTTGTTGCATCATCTTCCCTAATGAGGGGATGGCAGGAAGCCCGAGTCCCTCAGAGACCTGCATTGTGTCCCTCTCAGCAGGACCTCTGGGTGGGACACTTTGGCCTTCTGGCCTTTTCCCCTATTCTGTTCTGTCCTGGCCTTTGTGGCATGAAGACGAGGAGGGAGACCCTATTTGGAACAGTAAGTCAGACATCTCTGTCCAGATCCTCCACAGGACGCTGGCTCCACCTAAGCATTATGCGATAGTACAATTAGGACATTAAATACTGTCACCTTTGGATTTCCTTCCCAGTTGTTTTCTTTGCCATAATCTCTAACAATCTCTCTCTTTCTCTTTCTCTCTGTGTATCAAAATGAATGTTTGAAAATTCATCAAGATGTTTAAGGGAGAATGTTTTTCCTCTTTGTCACCGTCATATTGTCTCCCTTAGCAGTAACTATGCATTTGGCCACCTCAGCGTGCATATCTGGACACTTCTTCTGGTGTACTTCCATGAGCTGGGTCTCCACACTCATTGTGCATCATTTTCATTCAACAGTTTTTCATGGGTGATGTTTTGGTCAGCATACGGATCAAAATGCCTACACTGAGTTCTGCCATGTGTGTGAAGTGCCAAGCACCTCCCCATCTTTCTATTGATAAACACTCCAGTGTGATCTTCCCACCCTGGACTGGGACGTGGTCAGTGTACATCCTGTGCCTCTGCTGAAATTTCCGTTGGCTTGAGTCCTACAAGTGGAGAGCTGGCCTTATGCTGGTAAATGATACTTACTTATTTTGGGGGAATGTATAAGTTGCTTTATGCCAATGGCATGTTTTTGTCAACTGTCCCCCAAATATCAGATGTTAACAGCTTGGTCACAAGCTCGTGGTTCTATCAGGAGTTGCAGGGAGTGAGGCGTGGGGTGGGCTCTGATAGGTGGAGCTGGTAGGGAGAAAGTGAAGTCACTTGGGTGTGTCCTGCATGGGGCCACAGGAACATCAGCCCTTCTTGTGTTCTTCCTTCCTCTCCCTGGCTGCTGTGAGGTACACGGTTTCTCCCCATATGTGACTTGCCATGATGAATGGCTTTGCCACAAGTCCTGAAGCAACATACTGAGACCTTTAGAACTGTGAGGCAAAGCAACCTCTGCTCCTTGAAATTTGATAAATTCGTTTATACTTTCATAGTGATTGAAAATTGGTTAGCTAAATTTTTACTGTAATTATTGGTGCATTGCTAGTACAGAATGATGGGTTGCACTGAGACTTTTTTGTATATGCATATAATGTGCTTTGATTCCATTCACCCCTCTCTGTTACCTCTCACTCCCCTCTTCCTATTCTCCTCTCCGCATTGTTTCTTTCTGCTTTACTTTCTAGATTTTATGTGTGAAAGAAAATATGGGACATTTGTCCTTCTGACTCTTGCTTATTTTGCCTCACATGATGATTTCCATTTCCAGTCATTTTTCTGCAAATGACGCAATTGCATTCTTTCTTATGGCTGATTAATATTTCTGAGTGTATATGTACTAACTGTTGGTTATCCATTTACATGTTGATGGGATTCTAGGCTCATTTCATCCCTTTCTTGTAAATAATGCTGTGATAATCAAAGATAATCACGTGTGCCTATTGAATAGAGTACATATCCAGGACTGGTATAGCTGGATATATTGTGGCTTTATTTTTAGTTTCTTCAGAAAATTCCATAATGATTTCCAAGGTGGATCTACTAATTTACAGTACTACCAACAGTATAGAGTAGTTCCCTTTCCCCTGTATGCTCTCAGGTCTTCGCCAGATTGTTTTCTTGGCAGCAGCCATTGTAACTAGTTTAATATGAAATCTAAAGGTAGTTTTGATTTGCATTTCCCTGGTGCCTAAAGTTGTTGAAACATTTTCACAGAATTATTAAGAATTTGTAGTTCTTTTGTTAAATGTCTGTTCAGTTCACTTATTGGATTTATTGTTTTATTGGTGTTAAGATTTTTGAATCCTTTATGGATTGTGGATATTGATCTTCTGTTACAAGAATAGCTGCAAAAGATTTTCACCCTTTCTGTAGTTTGTTTGTTGCTATGCAGAAGCTTTTTACTTTGAGGTAATCTGATTATGTAGTTGGTGTTTGTTTGTAAAACACAATAATTATGTACTAGTTAGTTTTTTTATTTAAAGAGAAAAAAGAAAGGAAATAAAATAAAAAAAACAAAGCAGTAAAAGGGTACAAATAATACAGAGTTTCAAGGAAAAAAATACAGTAAGATATCACTAGTTAATAGGTTACATATTGTCATCTTTGAAATAGTTGTCCAAATTATAAAATTAAAGCATGTAAAACGAACATTCATACAATGAGATTGCAGACAGTGCTGATCAATGATCCAACAAAAGTTTGGTAATATGGATTTCCATCCTACACACTCAAACATACATGCAGTTATATCCTTTAGACCACCTTCCTTTCCTTTCTTTTTAAAAACAATTACACTTTTTGGGTTTTTTTACTCGCACAATTCTTATTATTTTTTTTTGAAGAGAATAAAACCTAACATGGCTAAACAAAACAGAATCAGTTAGAACAAAAGGATGGGCATAGTACATGATGTAAAAATAGAATATCAGGTGATCTAAAGTGGTTACCATTGTGCCTTTTGCTATTTTTTAAAAAAGTTGCCTATATCATCAGGTATAATAGAATTGATCAAAACAATACAGAACAAGACCAATAAAACCTACACTGGAGACCTTACAGGACTTCAAAAGAAGATAATAGTCAAACCATAATGGGCATCTTAGTGAATCTTATTGCCTTCAAAGTGGTTGCCTATACCCTCAAACTTGATACTATCAAATAAAATAGAATATAGTAAAATCTGACAGAACAAGATGGGGAGAGCAATACTGGGGATCATATCAGGTTAATGGGAAAACAAAAAGTTACTATAATATATCCTGCTATTTTTAAATTTAATTTTCCCTTTATTGAAAAAAATGTAAGAAGAAAATAGATTAATTTTAAAAAAGGGTGGGATTGAGGTAAAAGAGGACATTGTATTAGAACAACACAGGTCAGAACCGAACAATTTAAGCATCATTGTGTTTCACCCCCAGATAATCTAACATAAAGGTAGTCACCATAGTGCCTCCTTCCTTGAATTATTTGAGTATAAGTTCATATACTATAGCATCAAGCATATCAAGTCAGTCTGAAGCTATTCAAGAGAATGAAGAAATTACAAGGTATTTAGAACCAGTTAACAGAAAACAAACAATGGTTTCTATATTATCTCTTTGCCTATAAAAATTTTTGTTTATACTATTGCATATAGTAAAATATAGTAAGATACCACATGTTAACACCAGTGGAAACAGGTGTACAACAGCTTGATGGGACTTCAAAACAAGATGATATTAAATCAGCACTAGCTTTTATGATACGAATAGCTATTTCTTCAGAATAGCTATTCGTACTATCACCGATACTAAAATTGAACAACCCAGGTTAAAACCATTGCAATTAATGACTGATAACATTATATGGATTCAAACCAATATGATTGGGAATCATGATTACCACATACTTTTATGTATTCTTATCATTTTTTATACTAGGGAAACTATTCGGTATTTATACATGTGAGTTTGATTTATTTCACTTATGAGTATGGTCTCAAGCTGCGCCCATTTATTTATAAATATCTTAATGTGATTCT